TTGATTCAGAGAGAGAGAGAAGAAAGAGAGAGAGAGAGAGAGATTGGAGAGAAACCACAGGCGATGACACGAATCTCTCTTTTCCCCTGTAAATATATACTCCTCCTTCCCAAATTAATTTGAGTATTTGGATAAAAAGAATTTAAAATATACTCCGTATTTTAATTGATAATTTAATAAAATAAAATATTTATTTCAACACTTGTTTCGTTAAAAATTTATGTTTCTTTTGAATATGTGAGTTATATTTTTTTATTTTTAAACTAATTTATTTATAAAATCAAATTAAAAAAGATAAAATTTCAAATGTTATTTAAACTAAGACGATTGATATGAGACGGTAATTTTTTTATATTCTTTATGTTTTGGACTTTTAAGACAAAATAATTGAGTTGATCAATAAAAAACAGCAAGAATTTGATTTTTGCCAATGACAATTAATAAACTAAAATATTAAAATTCTATCAGTATATCATTTTTTGTATTTTTTATCTCTTAAACATGGACATTGACACTGCATAATGCCACACTTTAGTATTGTATATTGGTATTTTATAGTACTTTTGGCATTATATATTGTCACTCTTTATCATTAAAAATTTTATTCTGACTTAAAAAGTTGAAAGTTTTATATTAGTATAAGACACCTGTTTTAATCCTAGTTACTCCAAAATAAATAATTTTTTATATATATATATATATATATATATATACACACGCACAAATCTCACTCTATTAATTAGTAAAAGATTTAAACTAGAATAAACTCTTTTAGATTTCTAATGTTCCTTTGTGAATTTTTTTCTTCTTTTTGGCCTCCTTTGAAGTATATTAATAGCATCTACAACTCAAATGCATCTTCACTACTCTTATTAAAGCAAGTGGTGCTTCCATGAACATATACATTTACTAGTATCACACCCGTGCGTTGCTCGGGTCGCAATTACGTTATGAATTTACATTGGTATCATTATAAAAGGAAAAAATACAACATATAATGAAATATAATATTTTTTTTAGTATTGCAAAGTATCTATAAATTACAAATTTTGAAAAACCTCTTTATAAACTACATTAGTGGTAATTACTTTCTAAAGCATCATGGTTTTCCCTTATTTAATTTTCAATATAAAGTGTTTAGATAACTTAAAGGGATAACATGTGAGTTTATATCGGGATGCTTGGATTTTTTTTAGTTGAAGTTAAAAGGTGTTTTAATTATAAATATTAAAAAAAAGTGGTGTGTACATATATGGCACGTTAAAAAAGACCGTTTAAAGCTTATTTGGTAACAATATTTAACTTTTGAGTTCTGAAAAGTTTGTAAAATGAGAACATTTAACTTTAGTATTTGCAAAGTACATCTACATCATGGGAAAAATAATTCAAAACGCTAACTGGAAGTATTATTTTTAAATAAGACTTTAATATTTTTGAAATTGAAATTTTAGAAAATTATAAGTAGTGACCTTCATCACCGAAATAATCTCTACATTATTCCTATTTTTAAAAAGAGATTTATAACTTGAAGCATTTCATTTTTTTAAAATATGGTGTGAATTCTAATGGGCTTTATTATTATTATTATTATTATTATTATTATTATTATAATTATTATTATTATTATCAGAAAATTGTTTTTTTCAAATATTACGAAGTCTACCTATATTTGGTTGGATAGATAGCCGATTTGGGTCCTAGAGCTGGCAAATCAGTCGGTCAGGTCGGGTTCGGATTTAGTCACTTCGAGTTCGATTTATTTCGAGTTCGGGTCAATTCGGGTTCGGATTGAAAATTGTATGTTCATGATTCAGTGTCATTGGATTCGGGTCGACCCAACGGATTATGACTTTGGTTTTTTAAATTTTTAATTTCACATTAACACTTATATTTTCTATTAAATAAATTTAAAATATCAAAAATATGCATTAAATGTATTAGATTATTCTATTTTACATTCTATTTTGTTAGATATATACATCAATATAAGGAATATAAAAATACATAAGTTTTAGAAAAAAGTAAGATAATTATGCAATATCATTAAAATTTTGTCTGAAAATATAAATTTATACATTAAAAACGAGTATTAAAGTGTATGATTTTGAAAAGGTCTTACTTTAGCAGGTCGGTTGGACCGGGTTCAGGATCAGTCGGGTTTGACCCATTTTTAGTGAGTCATTTCGGGTTCGGTCATCAAAAACTTTATTCAGAACCTAGTGTTTTTGGGTCAGGTTTCGGGTAAAAAATAAGTCGGGTCATTTTTTTGTCAGGTCTACTCATTCTTTTATTTTCTTTCTTAGTCTGCATGAGTAGTTCAATTGATTCAAGGAGTAGAGATAAGCAAAAGGACCGATGCGGTCAGACTAGACCGGTCTTTGGAAAAGACTGCTACAGTAAAAGACTAAAAGACTGGACGAGACTAGTCTTTTTAAAAACCCGGTCCTAACTAGTCCGGTCTTCTTATCAAAATCAAAGACCAAATAAGACCACTAGTCCAATCTAGTCTGGTCGGTAGTCCAATCCGGTTCGGTCTCTAGTCCCAACATATTGGGTCAAGATTGTAGTTTTGCGATGTTGTGTCAGGGTTACCAAATAGTCCATCAACTCTTTTTGCATCGGTCGAGATTGCATGTTGCACTTCGCTCGCTCAATCGCTGATTCTCTGAGGACATTTCTGAGGACTAGCTCTAGGACAGAGTGTTGTGACGCTTGAGTTTATCTTGAAACTCTAAGAAAATACTTAGGGGATAGGGGAAGCTGAGAAGTATTAATCATTTCTAATTTGTATTACTCTATATTATTTTTTTAACATTTTTATACGTACTACTCCATATATACTACTCCCTATATACTCCATAATTTTCAAGTAATATAATTAGACTCTAGAGGACTAGTTTTTTGGACTAGTCCTAGTCTTTACACCGATCTTTTACTAGTCTCGGACCGGTTCAGGTCTTTAACATGTCTTTTACTAGTCAAAGACTAGTCCTAGTCCTCTATAAATATTAAGGAACATTTGAGACTACTGGTCTTGGACTAGACTAGTCTCAAGGACTACTTCGGTTTCAATCTTTCAAGTCCAGATCCTAGTCGGTCTCGATCAATCTTTTCGGTCCCAGTCTTTATTATTTGTAATAGTTCTCGTGCACACCCGGTGGCATTCCACCTTTGTACGGAGTATTTCTTTCCTCCATTTTCTTTCTTTTCCACTTTCAATTACTTAATCCCCCACGTGTTCAGCATCCTGCGCCATTTTGTGCTGTTTCCTCAACTTCTGTTTCTTCTTTTTGTTTTTTTCTTCACAACCCTTGAGCCGTTTGGCAAATTTCTTCAATCGCTCGCGAAAACCGGCCATTTCTGGGAGATCATCATTCCGTCAGGAAATCCCAGGTACCCATTTACAATGCTCCCCTTGATTGACATATTGAATGTCGGCTTTTCCAGATTTCCAGGGTGTCCTAATTTTCTGTGGTGAAGTTGCAAACCAGCTGCTTCAGATCCGTATCTTGGGAGCATGTAGAGATTTAAATGCGATGTTGCTTTGTCTGGATTAGGTCTTTGCAGATGCAATTTTGTTCTTGTTTTTTGGGATGTCCCTAATTTTTCTTCATTTCATTGTGTGGTTCATATTGTGTTTATGGCCTCTGCTGCATAAACATCAACCCAACCATATACTTTCTACTTTTGTGCACCAAATCCGTGAAAAACACGGGATGGAGTGAATATCTTTCATGGTTTGGGTTGTTACCTCTTTTATAGTTTTATGTAGATTCAGGCTGTTGTCAGGATCTGTAAGAAAACCTGGGTGTTCTTTGTTGGGTTGAACAAATGTGCTTATAATGACCAATTTGATTCTCCAATTCTTTAGGTGTGGGGGCATTCCTCCTAGTCATCCTATTTTTCCTCGGTTAGTTCAATCGTGTGCTTCCTAGATTTGGGATCACATTACTTTCGTCCCCACAAAAAAAATCATATGTTAAAAATTTAATGGTAGGTTTAACTAAATTTATGATATGTAACTTATATTTTTTTTTGAAAAAATTAAAAGAAATTAGTTCCATGTGGGTTGAGTGGAACTCTTTTATAGAGAAAAAAATATTTGAAAAACAAGATAACTTCATTTTTTGGACGGAAAGGAAGTGCTCTCCAAAAATTTTCTTTCCACTTCCTTTTTTGGTCCGTCCACAAATGGTCTTCCCATTTCCTTTTATGCAAAGAAGTTTGCCTTAAATATCAAACTTATCATTCCATTTTCAATGATCAAATATCAAAACATCACTATTCATTTACACTCTTCACTTTATTTAACACTATGTTGAAAGTCAATGCTGTTTTTATACATTAATATGCGTGCGGGGTCAAACCGGGAAGAAAATTCTTGGACGGAAGGAGTATTATTTTTGTAGGAATTTATATTAATGATTGCAGGTTTTGCAAATGAATATTTATTCTCGTAGTTGAGTGATTGACTGAGTGGTTTTTTTGGAAAGCTGGATTGATAGTTAGTTTGTTTATAGAAACATTTTCACTTGGAAAGTATGGTGAAGGAAACAGAATACTATGACATTTTGGGGGTAAGTGTTGATGCAGATCCTGCTGATATTAAGAAAGCATACTATATCAAGGTGAGAACATTTACTCCATATGTTCTTTTCTTGACATGTTTCTCCTCATTCCTTATTTCCATTCGTTCCTCTTAGTCTTGGTGGGTGGTGATCGAGCTGTCAGAAGTTTGCAAATATGGGAAATTGGAAATTAATGCGCCACCAATAAAATCTAGTATAGTCTGAACTCCATTGGGGGTCTGAGGTCAAGATGTGCATAACCTTACCTTTATAAAATAAATAGTGAGGCTATTTTCGTTAGCTTAGGATGCATTGCTGCGTTTACTACAGAGAACTCAGCAAAAAATAAAAAGCAAAGGATGTTTAATGTGCCATTTTGATTCAATCCATTATTTACCTAATGATAAAACTTTGTCAATAATGACTCTTTCAGCTCCATTTGCAAATATGGGAAGTAATTGAATATAAAGTGTAATTCTTCTCCCAGGCAACGGTGGTGCACCCTGATAAAAATCCAGATGATCCCCAAGCTGCTAGCAATTTCCAGCTAATTTAGGGTTGTTTGTTTCCAGATAGTTATTTACTTATGTTTTCTTATTTTTCTCTTTTCATGGGCTAAATAATATTTCGTATATTATACTCAGTATATAGAACAACTTAATTTTCATGTAAAAACATTTTCATCAATTCCTCAAAAAATACTTTCCGCAGCAAGTTCTATCATGTAATCAAATGGAGCCTTTGATTGGATTTATCAGTCAGTATCTCTTTGATTGTCATTTTTTCCAGAAAAAGAGCAAGTACTTGAATTTAATCTTGAGCATAATATAACTTTGTGAAATGCACCATATATTAATTTGCTTTTGGTGCTTATTTCCAAAGGCTTTAGGAGAGGCATATCAGGTTCTAAGTGATCCCGAGAAGCGTAAAGAATATGACAAAAATGGGAAAGATGGAGTGCATCAGTAAGTGCTCACCTAGTCACCTTAAATTGGTTACAGTTAGTTGCATTACTTGTTTGTGCTCTTTTTTTATTTTGAAGAAATCCATAGCTTCTTCATAACACATTGTGTGAGCATTTATCAATAAATAAAATGATCAATTGTAATTTAAACCAAGCTTCAAACTGTGCTTTGTCAGTCTCTTACTCATGCCCAGGAATGCCATCTTGTAAGTTTGAGAATGTTAAAGTGGTAATTGGTAAACTATAAGGCCTAAGGATCAGTTTGGATGGAGATTTTTGGAGGGTTTCAGAGGAGAGGCGTTTAGATGATTAAGTCTACACACACATTTAAGCATTGAAGGAAAACATAAGAATAATTTATGATTGGTTTGGGAGTATATTTTTTTGGTAACTTTCATAATATGTGTGATTTAGATATGAGAAAGATTGGGTTTCACTTACGTTGGTTTAGTTTCTCAGGGACACAATGTTGGACCCTGCAGCCGTTTTTGGGATGCTATTTGGAAGTGATTTCTTTGAAGATTACGTGGGACAATTTTTATTGGCTTCTTTATCAGCTGTTGAAGCTGAACAGAATACTTCCGATGATCCTGAAGTTCGAAGCAAAAATGTTAGGGAAAAGATGAAAGTAATGCTTTGTTTGTTTCAACTCATATTCATGAATGGCGGCGAGCCACTGTGGACAGTTCAGTAAAGAATGGTTTGTCCCTTGTTTACAGGCATTGTAGAAGGAAAGGGAAGATAAGCTTGTAACAGTTTTAAAAGAGCGTCTCCATCCGTTTGTTGAAGGTCAGAATGTCAGATAGACACTTTTGTGGATTGGGCAAAGTCAGAAGCATGCCGTCTTTCTCAAGCCGGTAAGACAATGTAACTTCCGCTCTATTTTTGCTGTCTAATCGCTTATGCTCTGTTTGGTTGAGAAGAACAAAAAAGAGAAGAAAGAAAAATGCTAGAAAAAGAGTGAAATTAATGCATTATTTGGTACGAGAGAAGTAAGAGAGAAAAAGTGAGTTTTAAAAATGAGATTTTCATATATGTCTCATTTTCAGCTTTTGGTGAGGCTATGCTACATACAATTGGCTACATTTACACCAGGCAAGCTGCCAGAGAAATCGGGAAAGATAAGCGTTATATGAAAGTTCCATTTTTAGCCAAGTGGGTCCGTCATAAAGGACACCGTCTTAAGTCACAAGTTATGGCTGCTTCAGGTGACATCAATGGAACAACTTGAGTTGTATATATGATGATATCTTCAAGAGCCTTCCATTTAATCATGACACACTTTACTATCTCGTAAATTTATTCTAGGTGCTGTCAATTTGCTGCAAATTCAAGAGGAGATAAAAAAGTCATGCGAAGGAGAGAACACTCAAGAATCTATGGTCAAAGCTCTTGAGGAGAAGAAAGATGTCATGCTAAATTCCTTATGGCAAATTAATGTTGTCGACATTGAGAGAACTTTATCCCGTGTTTGTCAAGCTGTAAGTATCAATTTTTCCTTTCTCAATTCATACTGTACTTCTGTGCTTGAGTCTATAGAACTTTGTCACTATGTTTTTTCTAATTTCACATGAACTTAAAATGTTAACTAATTGCAGACACTTGTTTGACATTATAAATCTGATATCACGTCGGTCATCCCTCCAGCCCCAGCATAGCTGGGATTGATGTGGCGGTGATGATGAATTAACTGACACATGATTGTCAAATATTTCCCATGAGGAATTTTTTTAAATTCAAAAATATTTACAATTGGAATTTGGGAGCCAATGTCTATGGGCAAAACTATGAATGAGCCTACATTTGGTAGCCAGTTTTGTTTGTCAAACAGAATAAACGTAATAAGTAGTTTTTGACTTGTTTATCAGGAATGGACGTTACCAAACACTTTTATTTTTTGCAAATTTAGTAGGCTCAGTCATTTCAGCCTGAGTAATTCTTACTCTTTAATTAAAAAGGGGGGGGGGGGAATTGACTAGAAATGCTCATCATGATAGATGACTTGACCATGCATTGATTTTGTTTAACTGCTTTAAGCACTGTTTTCCCCTGGAGTNCTGGAGTATTTATGAAATTAGTCAAGACTTACGACATCAGGAACTTACTGAGGATATGACCTTATATAGGAACATATAGAGATCTAGGATCATAGTAGTTGGATAGACCTTTCAGTCTTAGTTTGTAGTTTATGCTGGTGCACTTTTATCTTAGTCTGTAGCTTGTGCATGTGTGCTTTGGGTCTAATTGCTAGGGACGGTATGCTTGCTTCTTGCCTCTGTGCTCTTACTTCGTGTGTGCTACTGTGTTTACTTTGTCTGCGCTTTTCTGTTTGAGCCGAAGGTCTCTTGGAAAGAGCCTCTATTGTTTCTGGGATTATACTGGGTTTATTGTTGTTTTTTAAATCCAGGTCCTTAGAGACCCCACGGTTTCGAAGGATGTTCTCAAGCTGAGAGCTGCAGCAATGAAAAAGCTGGGAACAATTTTTCAAGCGAGTATTTTTCTTTCTTCTTGTTACTATTGAATACAGTGTCCAAGTTCTAGACATGATGTTTCTCTGTATCTTTTTCTCCTACCGAAAAAAGGCAACTAGGCCCGCACTTGGTAAAATCCGCTCCCGTATAATGGTCTATGTTAAGAACAAGTATTGAGCCTAACTCACCTCAAAAGAGCGCTCTTTAATAATAGCTCCAATTGTTCATATTTACTTGATGTAAGATAAATCCAACACTCTTCGTCCTAAAATAACACTAGTACTCTGTAATTTTTTTTGTATTAAAACGATCAAAGAAGCATTAGCCCTTAGCTTGTGGATTGTACCCATTAAGAGCCCGTTTGGTGAGCAAGGCAGGGTTGACGTGATATGAGTTTTCAAATACAAAATGATAGGGTTTGGAGAGATCCAAAATGATGATTGTTAGTGACATGCAGGAGTAGCCGGTGGGGGTGGCTGATAGGGGTATTTGCCGGGTGGTTGAGGGAGATATCAAAAAACCCAGATTGAAACACCTCCATTTCGGAGGGTTGTCATATCGAGAGATATCAAATCCCAATTTGTTTAGGCTTTACCAAATCCATACAAAAAGGTAGTGATATATAGAGATATCAGAACTCATATTTCCTGCTCTTGCCCTAAATATTCCCATGTACTCTCTTTATAGCATGTTATTCATCTCGCGTTGTTGGGCAGGGAGCGAAGGTGACGTACAGCAGAGAGAGCAGTTTGCGCTGCGAGGGCCCCACCAACAGCGACGCCATTGAAGGCAATCCACAGCCATCCTCAGATCAAACCTAACTTTTGGTTGATGTTTGGGTTTCAGCTTTTGCCATCTTCACACCAAAACTGATTCTTTAGCTTGTAGTGGTTGGTTCACTTTTTTTTTGGGTGTTATGGAGTTTAACTCATTCTTGAAGAAGTTAGAAGAGCATTAGGGTGAACATGAATACTTGCTTGTGTTGTTGGGCATTAAAGCTCTGCCCCTTTTATTGTTTTTGTTTGTTCGAAATTAAGAACGATCCGAGTTCAACTTATTTTTTCTGCTTATTACTTATTCTTATTATAATCAGACCAGATCAAATCAGAAATAACTTTAATTATAACTGCAGACTATGTCAGGTCTTCAAAAAAATATGATCAGATCAGGCGAATGGAATGCAGCATAATTTTCCACATCTCATATTCAATAAAAATCTTATGATGAATTATCTAAAATATGGTAGAGATATGGTATGAATTTTTTAACGTGAAGGGAGTAGTGACACTCCAGGTTAGTTACACTTTATCCTATTTTGACACTTCCATTCACCACAATTTTAGTTTAATTTTTTTAATTAGCTTAGGTAAAGCCTGGTTAGGTGGATCTTCTCACTTCTTCCATTCAACCACCCATAGTAATCATTCAAAATGAATTTTCGAGATGATTACTACAATCCGCCTCCTTTCTACCAACCATAGCCGACCCCCTTGACTCCGATATTGATAAGTACGAGGAATCTATAGACGAGAAACTACCTTATGATGCAGAATCCATCCCATTTATAGCAGCTCTTGCTGCTGAAGTCTCACCAAAAGGTTCAAACGAAGCTTTCTTTGACTCTCTACTTGACGGGTATGACTATTCTTACCCGAAGGAAAGTTACAGCAAAATGAGTTGGGACGAACTTTTGATGAGTGACACTGAAGACTGAGGTGATGGACATGTCGTAATCATTGAACCGCCAACCAAAAGCCAAACCATTGGAGACATAGAATGTCATGAACTGGCAATTGAGACCAGTGATGTGGATACACTGAGGAGACTCCCACCACCTCCCATCCACGATGAGTCTCCTCAATATTTTTAGTTGCCACCAAATCGCGGGAACGAGTCAAGGATCTTATACCTTGACCACAAGAAATCAGAACAAAGGTGACATTATAACAGAGTCTAAAGGTCAAACTTTATGACTCTTGGATCGGTAAGTCCCGAAAAAAACAGGCTAACCAAAGCGCTTCTTGGGAGGCAACCAAAGCGAATAAATTTTATTTTCCTTTTTCTTTTTTACGTGTTTGTTTTGTGTGTTTGTGTGTGCAGGTGGAACTAGGAGTGCCGTTGGACCATTTTTGACAAAAAATGATCAACTTTTGTGCATAATATTTTATAAAAACATTTTTAAAAGAAAAAATTAAGAATGTCTCTGTCCCAAATTCTTGTTTTTATTGGTTAATGAGTTCGAGGGCGAGGTCAACCCTAAGTGTGGGGAGATTAGAGTTTGGTACATAATGTTTTATTTATTATGAAAACTTTTTGAAAATATTTTTAAACATGTTGTTGCATTTTTTATCAATAGTGATCTCTGCACCGTGTACGTAATGACTGTCTAAGCTCGAATGGTACTTAAATGAACAGACAATAAGGGTGACTGGGTGACGCCTTCAGGAGCCGAACTTGTCCAACCATTCCTACTGGTTATTTTGTAGAAAGGTTTATTCCGGTGAGCTTAAGAGTACCAAATTGGCAGCATTCTGTCCGATCTCTAATACTCTGAATCGGTCTAGTTACCACTTTTGATATATTTAAAATTATTTTACACTTTTTACTCTTTTCATAGGTAGAATTATTTTTAATGGCCCCCTTATGAAAAAATTGGGCAAAAAATTTAAAATTTTTCTTTAAATTGCATATATAGTATTTTTATTTGCTACATTTAATAGTTTTGTAGATAATAAATTTGGATACTAATGTGTTGAAAATAAAATCATTGTTTTAGTAAATAAATATTAACTTGTAAAATACGTTAAGGCCAAACATTTGTAACTTGTCACTTATTTGATAGTCTAAATGATGATGTTTCACTACTTCATATTGAGTATGAAGAGTATACTTTTCTGAAAAATTGATATTTCAATGATTGCAAATATGGTTGTTCATCTGTCCAAGACCGGACCGAATTGAACCTATCCGAACTAGACCAAACACCGAATTGAATAAAAATAGAGATTGAAGACCGGCTGAAATACTTAGGACCGAATTGGTCTGAACTGATTAGGCTGTATAAAATATATATATATTTTAATTATTTTGATCAATTAAATATATTTTAAGATATTTATTTTATATTGTGTAAATAGGAAAAAAATTAAAAAAAGACAACCTAAAAGTAGATACTCAACATGGATTATTTTTATGTTGAATCATAAAAATTAATGTGAAACAATTTATTTATTTTTTTAATTACTTAATAGTTTTTTTGATTAAATAAATTATGATATCTACTAAAGTAGAGCATCAAAGTATAATACGGAACTTAAAAAATAATGTTTTACTCCATGTAACATTTAGGTCCAATATAATTATTAGGTCCAATCAATCAAATTGGTACAGACTAAATCATTTCGAGTTGAGACCGGAACAGATCAAATTCTAAACACCTAAAATTTTTGGAACGAGATTGATCTGAAATTCATTCTGTCCGAGTTCGGTCTCTGCGGTCTAATTTGGTCTGTTTTTTCAGTGTGGACTCTGGACCTAAACATGAACGGCTTTCAAAAGAATGACGCGGCTTGAACAATTGAACATGCCTCGAAACCCTAGTGTCGGAGATCCGAAAACAAATCCCGGCCACCATCCATCCATCGACCTCCGCCGATCGACTTCTTCCTAACGAAAAAAACCCGACGCCGCGGCTCCGCCACTCGCCAAAAACCTCCGTCTGCCCCCGACTCATACCGGCGGGGTCCTTTCTTCGTTGCAAAAGATGAAAGTGAAGAAGCAGAAGCGCCATCGGAGAGCGGTGAGGTTTTACGCGGCTTGTTATGGTTTTCGAGAGCCGTATAAGATTCTATGTGACGGCACTTTTGTGCACCACTTGATTTCCAATCAGATCACTCCAGCGGACACTGCCATCGCCAATACACTTGGTGGCACTGTTAAACTCTTCACCACAAGGTGTGTTTGTTGTTTGTAGTTTTGAAGAAATTGTCTCTTTGGAGGAAGGGTAAAATTTAGAACTTACTGTTCAATTGGTGTGTATTGTATTGGTTTGCAGATGTGTTGTTGAAGAGTTGAAGAGACTTGGGAGCTCTTACTCTGATTCACTGGATGCTGCTCGTAGTCTATTCACTGCAAGGTAGGCTTGTCATACCCCTCATGGCTCATACAAACAAATAAGACTCAGTTTGATTCCTGGAAAATCTCTTTTTAATGTTTTATTGAAAATGTTAACCCGTAGTCTTTGAAAACAAGCACTAGGATAGAAAACAGAAAACTAGCCAAGGAAAATGACTCTCCGATTTCAAAAAAGGAGATCAAGTTTCTAGTGAAAATGCAAAGAATCACAATACTTACATGCCAAACACGGGAAAATCTTCCACATGAGAGTATTTTCCCTTTCCTCAAAGTTATTTCATCGAAACAAATAGAACCCAAGTCATGAACAGCAGTGAGGATCCGTTTGGAAGTTGGCTAATTATAGGGAAAGAAAACCGAGAGGATAATAGAGAGAAGATTTGATGGGAAAGGTGTGGGGGAAATTAAAAGTTTATGGAGTATGAGAATTTATAAAGTTCTAATCAAACTTGATTCTTTATTAATTTCCAAGGTAGAAACAGACATAAAAAATCAATATCCATTAATATTTTCCCCCTTCCCTTTCCATTCTTTGTATTCTGAACATTGCCGAACTGAATTCTGGAAGCTGTGTGACATGAAGCTCTTTTTTGTATATATACTATTTTTTGTGCTTAACATCATTGTGTTTTGTTACAGATGTGATCACGTGAATAAGAAAAGTGCTGTAGCTTGCATAACTGAGGTCATTGGAGAAGACAATCCCGAGCACTTTTTTGTCTCTACTCAAGATGCTGATCTAAGGAAAAATCTTACGAAGGTGCTTTAACTTTTTATTTATGTTGGCATGTTGGTGTCAAACTGCTCTTCCTTGGGGTCTGTTTGGATTGGGGGGGCGGGGTCCTAGAAGGAAAGCCATGAAACAATTAGACTATGTTGAAAAATAGAATATTTGTTAGCACGATTGAAATGATATATGATTACTTATTATGTTATTCATTCGCTTTGAAAAAAATCTCAAATGTATTGTTGGAGTTCCCACATCGAAAAATAAAGATGGGGGGGGCATATATAGAAGGGTGAAGCCCTACCTATCAACTTAAGCTTTTGGGTTATAATAGTGGATCCTGACTTTATATGGAAGTGGTTACTTTTACCCGACACTCCACTCGTTGTTATCGGCCCACCGGAATTTTAACATGGTACCAGAGCAAGTACAGTCCGGGTTCAATTATTCCTGGTTGTTTAGATGTAGGTTTAGCAAATTGAGCTACCCGTCTGTGGTTTGGGTTGAGTTGGCTATAAGAGAATGAGAAGCCAATGCCCGTTGTGTGGGCTAGCTAAAAGAGATTGAGATGCTAGACTCGTTGGTCCAAGTGATAACTAGACCAGACTAGTTACCACTTGAGTTGGAGTGTTGGAGTTCCCACATCGAAAAATAAAGAAGAATACCACTAGCATATATAGAAGGGTGAAACCCCTACCTATCAGCTTAAGCTTTTGGGTTAGAATAGTGGATCCCAACTTTATATACAAGTGGTTACTTTTATCCGACACGACACTCCACCCGTTGTTCTCGACCCACAAGAATTTTAACATATATATCAAAAAATTTAAGATATAGACCTAGCTGTCCAAAATTCTTCATTCAGCACGATTCGTTAAAGATTTGCTTTCATACTCACAGTTATGGAATAGTAAAATTATGTGTTTTTTGAATAGTTCCATTGCGAAAGTTTTAAAATAGCTTTCTTTGTTTTAACCTTTCAATCATGTGGTGGCAGATACCTGGTGTTCCTGTAATATATGCACTTAGGAATGCTTTGTTTCTTGAGCGTCCATCCACTTTTCAACAGAAGTTTGCCAAGGTCGCCGAAGAACAGAGATCACATATGACTGACAAAGAGTATAAAATGCTTAACATTCAGAAAAAGAGGAAATTGGCTGATGAAGAAGCTAATGTTGCCTTAAATGGAGAAGAAGGGGGCACTGGTTTCTCGGAGATCAAGAATTTCAAGATGCCTGTTGAGAGAAAACAAAACAACATCAAGGACAAACCTCAATTTAAGAGAAAAAGAATCAAGGTAGGACTTTTGGGTTGCATCGTCATGAATAACATTGTCTTTTTATATACAAAAAAAAATCATGTTGATTTTTGTGAGGGAAGATTTATGTTGATTTATTTCACTGTTTTTGGTTGAAAGGGTTTTCTTGGCTTTAAAGCTCTAAACAATTGACTACGTAGAGGTTCATACTTCATAGGGGAAAATACACTAGACTATTCTGCTATGGTTAGAGTGCACAAAATGGCTGCTAGAGAAAATATTTCTTTCTATTTTGGTTTTCTTTGTAGAAAACACTAAGGAAAATGAAATTTCCGTTCCATAGCTGTGTAGAAAACACGAAGGAAATTGAATTTTCTTTGTCGAAAACACGAAGCATAACTGTGTTTATTGCTGTGTATTTTGTTTGTCAGAACCCGAATCCACTTTCTGTCAAGAAGAAGAAGCCTAAGCCCTTAAATGCAACTGCACCAGAAAAGGTATGATTTTTCTGAACCTGAATTCTAGAATCATCATTCAAAATGCATCCTTTAGTAAAGAACTTTAGAACACCAATTGGATTACTCCGTAATATAATTCATATATTGAAATCTATATAGTACACTTGAGGGGTCAGTTAATTGCCTGAGATATCTATGGATATAAACCTCCATTATGGCAAAACCTAAGCTCTTAATTGTTGCCTTCTCGCTCACTTGCAACTCACATGTAGAGATTCTTACTTGCCTGATATTTATGACCTCTGTTCTAAATTCCTCTCCTAGTCCCTAAGCCTAAGGGGGAGAAAAGGCCAAACCAGAACCGGTCAACAAAGTAACTGAAGCCTAACTGACGAATATTGGGTTCTTCATAGGCAGTCCGGCTTGCAGTTCAAGAATTAGGCTTTAAACTGACCTTACTGACTAAAATCAACAAAAACAAAAAATGACCGAATATGACCAACATAATATCTTCGGTTCAGTTTTCAGTTTTGCATTTTCAAAAATCAAAGTGAACCAACCTAAACCTAAACGGCAAACATCATGTATGAAACATGAGTACTATACTCCTAAATCCTAATTAGGACTGGGTTCTTTTGAAGCGTCGGTATGCATTACCCCATAGTGTTTATTTATATATTCATGGTGAAAATGGGCACAACTCTTATCAGTTCTGTTTGTTTGTTTATCCCGCAAAATAACTTTAGCAAGTTGTCTATATATGGTATCTATGTTCTCCTCATCAAGTGGTTTACGCCTGAATTTGATGTAATCATATGGTATCAATGTTCTCTTCAGCAAGTGCAAGAAATCAAGAAAAATGATGGAACTGGTAGAAAGAGAAGAAAAAGGAAGAGGACAAGAAACAGTGGCAATAATACTGGAGAGGGAGGGGACTTGAGCAGTGCGGTAAAATAGCATCTTTTTTAATTTGATTTTGCAAGAATCATGTCAATTCGTTTTAGTTACTGCGAGATTAGTTTCACATTTGTAACTTAATTTGATTTAAGGATGTAATACAGGCATTTTTGTGTGTGATTAGAGAATATGCCAATGTTTTGCAAATTGTTTTTAAGAGCTTATATCTATTTTTTGTCTCAAAATATGGTGCTTGTTTGTTTGTTTGTCCTTCACAAAACATGGTAAGTTGGTTTGTGTTTCCTTAAAAAAGATTGCGCGGTTCGTATTACCTAAAACGACCAGTCACAAAATTTCATTTTTCTTAAAGCCTATGAATCCTAACTGCCCAGTCGAAAAAACTATTCTGTTTGGTAAATGGCTTATTTACCTATGAATTTTACTTCATTTTTTATACTTGTATACCTATATTAGAATAAATTTGTTAATCGTCATAATTTTTAATTTTAGAACAAAATTAATGAATCAATCCCAAAATTAACAGGCACTAGTTCTCACTATACTTTTGTGTGACATGAAAAGGATGAGATGCTTCATAATCATAACTTTGCGTACTACCTAAGAAAGCAAACACATGAATCAAAATGAAAAACAATACCGAGCGAATCTAATTTTTTCCATTAATAAATTCAAATTGTTTCAAGAAAACTAATACATCCAAATGGAACTAATTGGAACTAATTCTGTCAAGCATGAATTATTGTACTCTTTTCGTTCTCAATTTGATTACAAATTGGGGTTTACTAGGGAAAATTTCTCACTTTTTTAAAATCATTTTATTACAAATTGGTATATCAATAAGAAATAAAAATTATATATTAAAAAACTACGTCAAAAGTTTTACAAAAAAGAGGTGACAAGATTATTTTATTTTATCAAATAATATTTAATGAAATCTCGCAAATAAATAAAAATTATGGAGAAGAGAAAAAAGGAGACGGAGGGAGTAGTTAAGTTATATGGAAGAGCTTCATATAAGTACGCACTAATAATTTATCTCTCTGTCTCAAAATAATCTTTTGGATTGACTTTCGTGAAGTTTAAGAGATATATTGAAAAATGCAAAAGGAGTGGTGAGACATTGATGAGAAGTGAGAAACTTTTATAGTCATGTATTTATAATAATATATATATATATATATAGACGGATTAAAAAGAAAATGATGTTGCCATATACTACTCCATACGGAAAATGAAGATTATTTTGAGACGGATGAAAAATAAAAAAGAAGATTATTTTGGAACAAAAGTGGTAGAAATAAAATTTTATGTGAGAAGGTTTGAGTTCTTATGATGCAAGTTAGATATTTGTTTCTGCATGCTCCAAACATAATGGGGCGATTAAAGTGGAATATTTTTATTAGGAAAAATTATACTCCGCATTTAGTATGAATATTATTCATTTCCCCGTCCCAAAAGTTTTACGCACTTGATATAGAGAATATAAGAAAAATATTAAAAATTACATAAAGAGTACTCCCTACTCAACGAAATGTGAAGTTTATTTAGAAGAAAACAAAAAAAGTGAAAAATTTATTTTAAGACAAAATGTTTCAGTATATCATTAGAATTTGTTCAGGCAAAAAAGAAATATTGTGAGCCATATGCTCATTACTAAAAGATACGGAGTAAAATATATCAAATGAGAGTTTCTTCTTATTAAAAAATAAATCCAATTTACTAAGTTTAGTTTTATTGACTTTTATTTATAAGAATTTGGTTATTTACACCAAATTTTCCATGCGTGTGGGTCTATGAAATTCACACAATAATTTCTCTCGAAAGAACAATGTGAGGTAAGAAAAAAAATCAACTAAAGTTTCCTTTTTTTGATAATAAACTAAAGTTCTCAAATTTTCAACACCGTTATTTAATTGACCAACGGAGATAACGACATGGCACGCTTTCTCCGTTAACTAACCATCGGACACTAACGGCGTTTTAGATGCCGTCTAAAACTCTCTTTCTCTCTCTCTCCCTCTCTCTATAATCTCTAGCAGAAGAATCACAAATTCACAATCTTTTCTCACTCTACTTTCTCTCTACAGCTCCACCACCAACCACCGCTCGCCGCCGCCGCCTGCCGGATGCGCTCTGAACTAGCGGTGAGTTCGGGCTAGCAGGTAGCTTCGATGTGTGTGTGTGATGAATATGTATATGTGTGAGTGAGTTAAATTTGTGATGAAAAAATCAAAATTATCCGGTGACAGGGAATTTCTGTGGCTCCAATCGCCGTTTTCTCGGCATAAATTTCGGATCTTTTTGACATGTTCCGATGTTTTTAGTGTTTATTTTTATTCACTCGCGAGTCCCCAGATTTTGTTTCTTTTGGGTCGAGGTTTTTTCGTCCAGTTCTTAAGTAATCATTTTAAAGTTTCAATCTTGTTGTCTTGGAGCTTTCATCAGGCCATCTGTGTATTTGAGTGTGGTATCTTTGATTGTTGGGTGATTAAATTTTTGATAGATTACATATTCTGATGGTTAGGGAGAGTGTAATCTGAAATTCGGAATATCATATTGCATGACTAGGGTTTTATTGAGCAGTAATTTTTTTTAATTGTCCGTGTTTTAAAATCTCGATTTCATTTTGAATATCTGTTGGTGTTTGATCAATAAGTTCAGTACTCTTTAATTTGATCTCTGTTAAGCAAAAGGAAAGTACCTTTCATGGAGAAATGAGATTTCATCCTATATTACAGGGCGTTCTCCGTTCCTAATGGTTTTCTCTCTCTATTTATTTTTTTAATGCTAATCAGTCATTTATATGTATACTTTTGAGCCAAAATTATGTCTGCTTCATTGGCGATTATGTCTCTTCCAAAAGGACAGAATTGTGGCCTTTTGAAAGAAAGTAATAGCAGTCATTTCTTTCATTTCTTTCCTCAACCATTTTTTCAATTCGGAGTTATAATTTGGTGTGTTCTCTGCAGTGTAACCATTGTTTGTGCGAATTATTATTTTTATTTCTTCCATTTTTTTGTGCGGTGCCAATTATCAGTCTGCGTCTCTCTATTTCAATTATGTGAACAATCTACTCGAAGTCTGAAATATCTACATCTCATGCCCGGTATAATGATTTATTAATTCAATCATTTTGGTTTGTGATATCAGGGTATTGTTATGGCATGAGCAGAGTGTAGATGTCTTTTTTTTGACGGAATATTCCAGTAGTATTTGCTGTATTCATGTGAAGAAGCATGGGGTCTGCATGTTGTGTAGCTGCAAGAGATAGAACCATATCAAATGGAGCAACTAGTGAAAATTTGCATCGAAATCTCAGGTATTCTCCATCATGGAGTTTCCGATGGGATAATCGGAGACGAGTAGCTGGGGAAGAGACATCTATGAATTGGTCTTCTGATGGAGCTAGTGTCAATGGCAGACTGGAATATAAGTCAGGGACAACTGCGGAAACAGGATGTCCATCTGTAGATGGAAGCCCTTTGGATAGTTTCAGGTCGTTTGCATGGCAAAAGTCACCCACTTCTGAAATAAATATGGGGCGTTCGGTTCAACCTTCATCAGGTAGAACTCCCTGCGGTTTTCTCTCAGTTTATCCATAGAGGACATGTAATTTGGAGGATAATTTTTCATGAGACATTATTAGCTTCAAAAAAGATAAAATGTAGATACTGACTGTGGAGTCTCAATTGCAACTTCATGTTTTCATCTCTCAGCTTTTCCAAGAAGTAATTTTCATCTCACTACTCTGTATGTGTCCGTCATGTTAAATACGTAACAATGGAAGGTTTGGGGATTGTATTCATTCCACACGCCTAAAGAGTATTAGAATATAACCCCCAAACATAATTAATTGCTCTTTCCACATAGACTAAAGATCTTTAGAAGTTAGTGGCCTTTTATTCACTGCTAAGAATATGACCTCAAGCTTCATTTAATGCATAAACATTCAAATTTAGTCTGACGGTATGATAACCCCTTATCCATAATAGACCATATTGTTCCCTTTATGCTTTCTCCATCACTGTATTGTTCCCTTTATGCTTTCTCCATCATTTGACTCCCTATCTTAATTTTTGCAGATATATTGGTGGGTAGGAATTCTACAGAGGTAATAAGAAGACAAAAAACATTACAATATTTTTATATACACTCGGGATGTGTTTGAAAGTCTGTAGTTGATCTGTATATGTTTCTGAGCATTACATTTTTCTTCTCTGGCATTTCTTTAGGTAAGAGAGACACTAGGAACTCCTGCAGTATCATTTCCATCTCCCAGAAAACTGTCCCAATCAGCACAGTCGGTCTCTTCTCTTTCTATGTCACCGTTGTCATCGCACAGTCAAGTGCCTCTTGCTAATTTTACTCCATCAAGGATGCCTCATCACTCTCCTGGTTTGAGCAATGAATCTACACGAGGATCATTTGGCGGATCATCAGATGCATGGTCTATTCCATCCTTTCCTGAATTCCTGGCAAGAGGGAGATTGTCATTTGATAGTGAAAACTTTGGCTTCAATCGTGATAAAGGGTATGTTTGGATTACTGAAACTGCTATGGAAAGGGAAAACAATGTTATGAGAAATTATGTTCTTATGTATGGTTCTGCTTTTTAGAAAATGCGAGGATGCTCTGTTGTTATTTTTTTGAAGTAGATTTTACATATTAATGGGTTTCTCAGTCTTTATATAATAGACATACATAATACACCCTTCATCCCAAAATGATCTCTTCCCACGTTCCTTTTTTGAACCTCCCAAAATGATCTTCTCATTCTTTTTAAGGAAAGAATGATGTGCTTCATATTATTTCTCTCTGCATAAAGTTCAACTACACAGTTTTAATTTTGTTTAAGTCCGTGCCATTTTTACATGGGATGATGAATTTGGTAGGAATGGAGTAATGAAAATGTGTTGGCAAATCTCTAGAGTTTTAAGCCTATCTTTTATTTTCTTTTCTCCATTCATTATCATTCCTTCTAATTTTCTTTCCTAACCCCCTCCCCCACAGTATTGTTCGAGCTCCAAACAGTTCCAAAGCATCGAGATCCTGCAGAAGAAGTTCCCATTCTCACTCACTCGATCTGCGAACCTGCGGCATATGTGCAAATCTGCTAACTGAAACATCTTCATGGGGTACTCAGAAATTTTTTATAGCCTGTAACGAACTGGCTGTTGTTTCTGTTCTGACTTGTGGGCATGTTTTCCATGCCGATTGCCTGGAGAATATGACATCTGAAACCAACAAGTACGATCCGCCTTGCCCTGTGTGTACTTTTGGGGAGAAGCATGCGTTCAAGATGTTTGAGAAATCACTGAAAGCTGAGATGGATTTAAAAGGTAGAAGGAAAGGCAAGAATAAAGTTGTTGACAGTCATTTTAGCGGAAACCTTTCTGTATTAGACCATCAGAAAAGTAGTGGACGCGAGGGCAGGTACACCAAGTTGAGCTCCAGTTCTAGTTTGAGAAATTATTCATCAGGGAAGGCGGCCTTCCTAAGGCGCCATTTTTTGTTTGGATCAAAGGACGACGCCAGAGCCTTGACCGAGAGTGTTTCCACTCGTAAGAGAATCTCTTTCTGGGCAAAATCTAGCAGAGAGTAAGCTTCATCTTGGAGATTATAGGTATTTCCACTCATCTATTGCTGATGGTAAATACATCGCGTGTCTTTATATAAAAAAACAAAAACATAATATGCGTGTGTGTTTTTAATATGTATATATATATGTATGTATGTATGTATATATATGTATGTATGTATGTATGTATGTATGTATGTATGTATGTATGTATGTATGTATGTATCTATATATATATATATATATATATATATATATATATATATATATATCATGCCTTTAAATAAGAAAATCTGTAGACGCCTGCATTGCTGAAGAAGTCACTGTCTAGGTGCTAGCCGCTAGGGTTCTCTCTTGGCACATATGTTTGTTTTCCCTCTTTTGATCTGCTGCCTAACACCACTGGTTAGGCTGTGTTTGGTCCGGGGGGGATGGAAGAGAGAAATTTTGGACCTCTCCCCTTATTAGTATTTGTATTTGAGTATTTCAACCAAATGAGCGGTGGAGAGATGATCCCCCCTCCCCCCACGAACCAAACACTCTCTTAGTTCCCTCTAACCCCAACTAATCCCCAACTAGACATTATGTTTTAATATGACACTTTGCAAGTGTTTTTTTTTTGTGCAACATTGCCCTCATATTCACCGATATATCTTTGTGTCGGGCTGCCAGCTTGGACGGATGGTTTTGGAAGGTTTTGAATGAGAGGGTTTTGGAAGGCTAAGTTTATGCCGTATATACTTCATACCTTGATATACGTATTTGAGATTTTATATAGTTGATTGAATTACGTAATACTCCGTAGGTGATTATATTTTCATACCATTTTGATCGTCATTTATTTGTTTTTTTCATTCAAAAAGCACTATACAATCTGTACCAGGATATGGGCAAAGCCCTCTGAAACGTTCCCCTCATCCAAAACTACCCAAAACCCTCCATCCAAATTGACCCAAGTGCTCATCTTTATGCAAGCAAGGAAGTTTTTCAAGGTGTTTTAACTTGCAATAACATATTATTTGGGGCAATTCTGCAGGTGCTTTGTGGACCAACCATGCCTTCCTCTTCTGGCTAAGGGTAACCTTTTGACTTTTTGAGCTCAGGGTCTCAACGCCACCCCTTTTTTTATTAATTAAGTCCTCGCTAAGGGACGGTAGTATTCCACTAGCAGGGACATTGGTTAGCTTTTGAAGGTACACTGTAAAGCACAGAGGGGTGGTGGACTGGTGGTAATATATAAAGGGAAATGCTCAAGTCACCCTAACTCTTACCCCAGCCTACTTACAGACAGTGAGTAACAAATGCCTGTGACAAGGTGGGGGGTGAGAGGTGGGGTGCCTCTAGGATGGTCCATATTTAAAAGATTAAAAAAAAACCAGTTTGACTACAAGGAAATTGAGAGTTGTCATTTATGTGTGTATATTCAACTTTGCAATTGGATTGTTTCATACTTTGATGAACTTGATCTGAAGTGCTTTAATTTATTCTCAAGATTACTTGTGTTTGTGTTTTTTTAACTATATTGACCTCTCTAATTGCCACTTTATTAATTTGAAATACACATATCCAATGGTTGGTTTGGAGGCAAATTATTACCGGGTACATGCATCTAAGATCTATGGTGGACTTTCAGATATGATAAATAAGTATTTTCAAGTGTTGAAATAAAAATATTTAAAATAAAAAAATGTGAAAAGGTCAATGGGCTATATATACACATACATGTGTGTGTGTGTGTGTGTATGGCAGGCTATTCTTACAACAATTCTAAAACAAATTAATTGGGGTACTTACGGTGTTCCGTTTGTAAAATTGATGGTTTCTATCCCTAAAGGGCTAAACTCCCACCCAGTCCCTTGCATCCTCTCCTCCTCCCTTAATTACTATTTTGGCTGTTTAAAGTTTTAAACTGCCAAAACTGTGACTAAGGGAGGGGGAGGGGGTGCAGAAGGATTGGGTGGGGGTTTAAGGAGATTTTTAGAGGGGTATGAACCATCAATTTTACGAACGAGACACGTAGGTATCCAATTGAACTGTTGAAGGATTGTTGTATTTTTAGTTGTTGAACTTTATCATATACATATGGACACCGTTTCGTTGACATTGGCTAACTATGCCACTAGCGGTGCCACTGCGTTTTTGGAGTACTTCCAGTGTTTCGTTCCCAAAATTGATGGTTCCTATCCACTAACATATCCCCTAAAACTCCCCAGCCTCCACCCTATCCCCACATTAAGCCCCTTCAAATGTGTGATTATTATGCATTGCAAGTGTAGATGAACTACAAATAAATTTTTATTTAAATAATTATTTATTAGAATTTTAATTTTTGTAGATGAACATAAAACACTTAACAGACATTTGAAATACTATTTTGATACTATTTTGTTATCATTCGTTTTTTTTTGTTTGTTAAATATGAAGCATAAATTAATAAAACTAAGATTTATAAGTATTTCTTGCATTTAATTATCAATTTTTTAATTGTTTATCTTTCTTTATTTGAATGTACTTTTGTTTTTTTAAATAAAAAGTTTTATAGATTTCAAAGTGTGAACTAAGTACGTATATATATTCATCCTAATATTTACCAAACCCAAAAACGAATCATCACGAATCGATACTTCAAGATCGAGACCAGTAGGATATTGCATACCAATGGTTTGAGTAGAGGGCGCCGCCATTCGGGGAAAGGATGCTTGAAAAGTGAAGATATGGAGCACCGTACCCGGATGGTCTTACACATAGGAAGTAGTTTAATCCTTCTTTTACGGCAAAGGTCAAAAAAGTGATTTTTTTTACCCTTGGTTGATTCACATTTATCTCCATTGAGGAGAGTAACTACCACAAAAACACTCCATTCCAAGTTCTTACTTTTCTTGACCAATGAAAAAAAAGATGTAATCATGCTTCAATATTCTCAAAGGCTAATTGAATAATACTACCTCCGTCCCACTGTCTTTGTCCACTTTTGACTTTTGGAACTGTTCATCTAAGCACTTTGACTCATCAAATTTTTTCAATGTGTAAGCCTAAATATAGTCATGTGTGATCTTGTTTGATTTGTCTTAACATATATTAATATATATAAATTACAAGATAAAATGGATTAAAAAAGTGCATTGGATGGTGTGTCAAAAGGTAAGTGAACAAATAGAGTGGGACGGAGGGAGTACTTCGTATAATTATTGTCAATTTATTTATTGAAACATCAGAAGCTCATTTAAACTAAGGGGCTGTTTGTTTAAGCCTCTTAATGGTTCAGATGTCTGAATGGTTCAGCACTTAATGGTTCAGACTGTTTGTTTCAGCCTCTTAATGGTTCAGATGTCTGAATGGTTAAGAGATTTGCCTCTGAATGGTTAAGTATTATACAGAGTCTGAAAGGTTAAGACCTCTTATCTGAATTGATCAGACATTTGCCTCTGAATAGTTAAGCAATATACTAGCTCTTAATGGTTCAGACCTCTTACTGGTTCAGCACTTAATGGTTCAGACCTCTTACTGGTTCAGCACTTACCCACTCAGAAGTTGTCAAACAGCCCCTAAGACAATTATAGTATCTCTATGAACAAAATTTGAAGGCGGAGAAACTTTTCACGTGTATATACACCCAGTCACAAAACTAAATGATAGTATGATTTTATATAACTTAAGATAAATTTTAAAGGTGTGTTCATTTTTCAAATTTATTTAGGGCTGGATTGGGAAAATTGAAAACTGCAAATCGAACCAAAATTAATCGAAACGAGCTACAAAAGAAATCGAATCGAAAAAACCAAAACTAAACCGAACCGTTATTGTTTGATTTCCGTTTTGGTTTTCACTTTAGAAAGCCGAACCAAACTGAACTTTCTTAGACACTTCACTTTATTTATATGTGTATATATGATATGTAAAAAAAATCATGAAAATATAAATGCAAATAATTGACTAGTCGAATAAAGTTAATTTCTTAACTATTAATTAAACATTCTAAACCATATTATAAACTTTAAAAAACCTAAAGATATAAACACCAATAACTAATCATAATATAGAATTAAATTAGCATAAAAAATTGATACGAGTTATTTACATATTTACATAAAAAAAACTTTGATGTTATAATGGAAATGAAAGTATTATACCAAAAAGCGTAAATTCTCTGTAATTGATATTTACATACGATGTCTTTGGGAGTATTTAGAATCTCCTAGATATTTGTTGGGCAGTCGACACATAATTTCTTATATAAAATTGAAACAAAATCAAACCAAAAAACCAAACACAACCCTATATATTGTTATTGCTTCATCAAGTTAGTATTCCGCATAAACCAAACCGTATAAGTGGTATAACTAAAGATTTACATATTTTTTATGTAAAATTGAACCGAACTGCCAACTTAATTACCTTTCGCTTTGCTTTTGGTTTTGGATAAAAACCGAACCCACCCCTAAATTTACCTCTAATATGACCTTGTTGCAATGTGGTTGGGAATAGAGAGAGAATGTGTGTAAAAATGATTAAAATTAAAAAGAAAAAGCAATTAAAGTGGTAGGAGTATTATGTTCTGTTGTACTTTTAGTGACTAGGTTATGTCAAAAAGATGAACGCCCCTTTAATTTTGGACAAAAGTTATATACACTTTTCCTTAAAAAAAGTTTGGTCAAATGATGCAATAATTTGATAACAAATTAAATGTACTTTTAGATGATTAAATGTATAAAATTTGATAAATCAAAATATAATTTAAAATGATCCAAATTTTAATAAACTTACATTATAAGTAAATATACTTTTTTTAGAATTTGTGGTCAAAATATAGGCACAGTTTGATAGAAAACATTAAACCATGGTAAACTTTTTTTTTTGTGACGCAAGTACATACGTGGATGATGCCTTTGGTGCAACATTATAATCCCCCATTTTGCCAAGTAGGAGCATTTGAAAGCACATTAAAATGTTGCGGCAAGTTGTGTTAATTATGGCGCCCGTTATTGTTGCAGATGTTTTGGCAACAATTTGTGCATTTGTGGCAGCAATGGGAAGACCCAAAACTGTAAGTTTTCTTGTAAAACTCTGTTTATGAATTGAAAGCTCATATATACTCCAACATAAAATCACTCTATTCATAAAATTGATAATTTTTATTCCCCTAGAACCCCAAGCTCCTACCCATACCCTAGTCAGTCAAAATGGCGTTTAAGAGAGAGAGAGAGAGTGGGTGCTGAGGAGTCTCGGATGGAGGTAGGGAGTGAGAGATCAGAGGGGTGAGATGTGTTAATATGCCTTGAATCTGTATTGTTTGCCGCTACGCAGATAGGGAAGCGGGGGTTTCGCTGTCGTAATACAATCCGCCTCCGTTTTTGCTTGTGGACGTAGCCAACACGACGTTGGTGAACCATGTTAAATCTAAGTCTTTACGTTTTCTGATTGCTTCAATAGAAATCACCATAAATAGGACTAAAACAAAGAGAAAAGTACCAAAATGGGACTTTCATGTTTTTTTCTCGAAATAGATTTCGCACTGTGGTAATGTGGTTGTAATGTAGGACTGTACATGTGCACAGTATTATACTTTTTGGTAATGTACATGACCATGTTTGGTAATGTAAATGCATTTTAAGTCCTATTTCGGAAATAAAAACATGAAATTCTTATTTTGGTATATTTTCAATGTTTTAGTCTACTTTGGTCTTTTTCTCTTTACTTTGATTACTCGATTACTCTATTCCGTAACAACAAGAGTTTAGAGTTGTATGAACGATCAAATTTTACGAATGGAATACCGTTGATACCCCAATTACATTGTTGTACGAAATGTTGTAAACATAATTATTTATTGTAAACATAATTATTTAGAATAAGCCAAATGTAATTCGATAATTAATTTGATTTACTACTATCATTAATCATCACTATGTATCTATGGATCTCAGGTGGAATCGGCGGATTGTGATGGAAAAACGTTTGGGCCTACGGCTGTTTATTTGTGTGCTTGGGCCGTAAGCATAGGTCTTATAATTTCTCTGATATGTTCTGTGCTGACTTATTATTTCCGCATCGGAAATTCGCGTATTAGAAATCGTGTTGTTTTATTTACATGGTACGTCCAATTTGCCTCTGTTCTTTTTCACTACAGTTTTTTAGTTGATTTTCAAATTTTGCTCTTGATGTGATAGATAAAAATAAGATGTGATCAGTTAATTATTAGTGAAAAAATATAATGTAATAGGTAGAGTAAAAAAAAATAGGAGAAGTGAGTTTTTAATAGAAAGCGGAAGAATTTTAGAAATAGAGAAAAAAAATAAAAAAGGAATATTTTAGAAAACGGAGGGAGTATTTATTTCGAATTAGGACTCCATATATATTTTTCTATAAATAAGAATGAAACCTTCACTATGTATAAAGAAAAATCATCCAAAATAGAACTAAAACATAGAGAAAATACTAAAATAGAAGTTTTATGTTTTTATCTTCAAAATAAGAGTTTGAACTGTGGTAATGTGACATTCTATATGTTCATTTCACAATATTTTTGGTGACGTATGTATCTGATCATGATTGGTACTATAAATGTATATTAACTCTTATTTTGAAAATAAAAACACGAAACTCTTAATTGGTTTAGTTTCAATGTTCTTTTTCTCTTCTTTATATAAGATTAATTTGTATCAAATTGTATCTTGGATTTTTTTCTTCTTAAAGATCATACAATAAGGAGTACTAATTTGGTGAACTTTGAAATGAGCAAGTGGGTCGTCACTTGTAATCGGAATTTTACTAGGTTTGGGCATGATATATAAGAAGAAGATGGACGGCGTCTGTGAGATCGCTCACCCGGCGTTCTTGTACATAACGGCAGTTCTTTTGGCCGTTCGTGGGATCGTCTACTGTGCCAGCTTGACCTGCATTACTGGAGAAGGAGAAGAAACGGCTCCGTCACATGGCGGCTTGCAAATGAGCAACATTAAGGGAAAAACTTAGATAAACCTAAATGAAAGAAATTTGTTGAAAGACCAGTTATTTTATGTGTTCTTTATGATATTTACTTGGAGAAATTTATCTAAATAGTACTAAAATATAGTGATGTTTTCAATGTAATATTATATGTTTTTATTTTCCAATATAGTACCACTATTCAATTTCACTAGCCGTTGTTCAGGTAAATGTCTAGCGCCACTGGATATTATTCAAACTAAATGTCCATTATTACTGGACATTATTCTAACAAGTAGACATTGAGTGCATTTGGAAAAAGCTTTTTTGAGCAGAAAAGCTAAACGTCATTTAATTGATGTTTGTTTTGCGCTAAAGAAGACAAGTGTTTTTGCTTAATCTTAACCGCCAATTCTCGTGCACCGCTTAACGCAAAAAGCTCACCAGGACTAGCGTTCAACCAAGAGATTTGGCGTTTTCTAAAATTTTCCCAGTGGCTGCTCATTGAGGAATTCAATTATTTGTAGGTAACAAATTCAATTCATTTTAATTTCGAATCAAATTCAATAATATTTAAAAAAAAAAGCAGTATTCAAGATTTCTACAAATAAAATTTTAGAATTAAAGTGATGTCTACAGTATGCACAAGAATAAGTTACTAGTAAATTTTTATTTTTTGCTCAATGCATTCACGATTTCTCCACATACCTTGGGTATTTTAGTAATTTTAACGTATTAGCATTTTAAAATATTTCATAGCCAAACGGTAAAAAATAAAACAACTAATTACTAACTCTGATGGAAAAACTAAACTCTAACTCTAAACGCTATCTCTAACCTCTAAAGTTATTTCCAAACAGACTCATTATTCAAGTACTATTTAAGAAAATTGACATATGATTTAGTATTATTTCGTGTAAATTTCACATTTGCTTAAAGATTTGTTTTCCTCTAATATTTTTAGATTTTATTAAATTATTCAGGAAATTATATCGTATATCAAGATTTACTCAGAGTTTATTGCAGCGTCCCCCTCGTGCTTTCCTATATGTTCATCGGTGCCCCCTCTACTTTTAAAACTTACTCCATTCCCCCTTCATTTTAAAAAACCCTACATCAATGCCCCTTTAGCCGGCACAGTCTTTTTTTTTAACCGAACTAAACTCTGTTGATATTACACAGCCTCCACCCAAATCTGTCTGAACTCTTGATGCGCCGTTTCCTCCACAAAGGTATGCTTTCTCTTAGATTTTCTTTCTTTCTTTCTAAATGATTTCTTTCTAACTTCTTTATTTCGGTGGAATTGTGCTTTAATCCACAAATTGGGTTTAATTTAGGTTCATCACATCTCTTTTTTTATATAATAACATTAGGGTTTTTTTTAATGAGGGTGATTTGATTTCAAGATTTATTTGATACGAGTAATTTTTTCATAGATTATTTTCTTTTTTTGTTGATGTAGATGAATGATATTGTGTGTAATATTGATATGGGGGGTGTTGAGATTCAAGACTTTGGTCTTCTTAATGAAGACAATGATGGTGATGGGAACGAAACAGAGGTTGAAGAAGTTGGTGACAATAATGAAGAGAATACATATGATGTTCGTTTTGATCAAGTTCTTGAAGCGGAGGAGGGACTTGCAGATGTCCCTGAATTTTTCTTTGAAGATGTTGAGGGTTCTGATGAGGAAGATATTCTTGTTGAGGTGCCAACTAAGAAGAGTAATAAGGCTAAATTAGTGGAAATGAAGAGGAGAGAATATCAATTGTTGCATCCACCAAAAAAGAAACATGTCAACCAGAAAAAAGCCACATTGAATGAGTCTTGGTTTTTTGATGAAGAAGATGAGGACTTGGATAACTTGGAAGAACAGAATGCTCCTGAGTACAGACCTGATGCAGAGATGGAA